CATACTGTTCTTCATTCTGGTGGTGGCAGCCACCAGTTCCACCCCCCCAAAAAATTTCTTTGCATAAATTGTCTATTTACTTGCTCATAGAATTATTGTCATCTAATCTAATGCCTTCATTTCAGTCCCTATGACTCTGTGTTCTTTCCACTACCTCCCATTGCCTCCTATCAGTTATCTCTGTGTTGTATCCATCCTGTGGAATGTAAGATCTTTTGAGGGGCAAGGACTGTTTAGGGTTTTTTAAAATAGGTATATAACTCCAACACTTAGCATAGTGGGTACCTAATCAATGGTGGATGACTTGAATTGACTTGAAGCCAGGAATGAGAGAGAAGAGGAGAAAAGGAAAAAGCTGAGCGGCACAGTGTAATCCAAGGACCAGAGTTCAAATCCTGGCTTCGCCAATTATTGTTCATGTGACTCTGGGCAAGTTACTTCACCTCTCTCTGCCTCAGTTTCCCCATCTGTAAAATGGGGGGATGGATCTTTAATGTCCCTCCCAGTTCTAGATTATTCTGTGAATCAGCATCTCTTCTATATGAGTTTTGTTATCATCAACATTTTCAGTAGAACCTAACTGAATGGATACTGTATTCAAGGTGTCATAGTAAGCCCTGCAGGGAAAGAAGCAGCGTAAGATGTAGTTCCTGACTTTTAAGGAGGCTACAATCTAACTGAGGAGATAGGACATGAGAAACAACCACAAAGTAATTAAGTTGAGTCCACAAGTCACCCATAGAAGCAGGCATGTGCTGGTAAACATTTAACAATTGACTCTGCTCCCCCCCCAAAAAAAGTGCTGGTAAACAATTAACAACTTTGTCTCAAAAAAAAAATTGAAAAGGAAAAAGTACCCAAGGACACTTTTAAATTTAATCTGCTATTATTTACATTTTCTCCATTACTTTCTTAAGTCTATACAATCAACAGAAAAATAATTTGTAGAATTTGCTGATTTCAGAGGCATAAAGGCTTGCACCGAAAATTTAACTATTGGCTCTCCTGAGCCAGTACAAGCTGGGTTCAGCACAACACTGCAGAAAAACCATACAATCCTAGAGATGACCTAGCTTAGCCTGTGAGCCACGGCAAGAATCCTTTCCTTCCACAATCTCACAAAGAAATGCAAGCATAGTCTCTGCTTGAATTGGTAAGGGGCCTGCAGTTCCTCATGGCAGCTTTTTCCATTGTTGGGAAGCTCTTAATGACAAAATGGTCTCCTTCTTCTGATTCCAAATCCATCTCCTTATAACTTACGACCATTAGTCCTAATTGTTCCTTCTGGAAAGAAGCATTTATTATGTACTTACTGTGTGCTAGGTGCTTTGCAAATATTATCTCATTTGATCCTCACAATGACTTTGTGAGTCAGATGCTTTTATTATTCCCATTCTACAAATGAGGAAAATGAGTCAGGCAGTGGTGAAGTGACTAACCCAGGGTCACAGAGCTAGCAAGTATCTGAGGTTGAAAACTCCAGTCTTGGAGTCCCAAACTCTACTCATGTGCCATTGATGGGGCACCTAACGTACTTACAATGGAGCAAGCTTCTTCACACTTCCAAATCATAGCCTTTCAAAAATCTGAAGACAGGTATTTTGCCCCACCCTGCCCCTTCAGCCTTTTTTTCTCCAGATTAATTATTCTTGATACCTTCAACCATTTAAAATATTTTTCCAGATTAAATTTAATTTGATCCAACGAACATTTATCCAATGTCTACCACATGCATATTTGTTGCTTGTTGTCTCCCTCATTAGAATGTGAGCTCTTTGAGGGCAGGGACTGTCTTTCGCCTCTTTTTGCATCCCCAGCACTTAACACAATATTGTGAAGGCTTGTGAAGGGGTTCCCTGAACTTGTCTTTTTGAGTTGCCATTTTTTCCAGAAACACTCAACCCAGAACATGCAGGAGGCCCTGGATGTGTCAAGGACAAAGGCTCTGTCCCCAGCTGATATGATTTGTTGTTTGCACCCCAAGCTGGATCCCCTCTGTGTCCTTGGGAGGCAAGACATACACCAGCCAGTCTATGCCAGGCTGGGAAAATGCTTGTGGGTCCTTTGCAGATAAGCAGATCCTCTCATCTTCATAGTCTAGTGGTTCTCAAGGGAGAAGAATGTGGCTTTTGCCATCACCTTGCTCCTCCCCTTCAGGAGGGGTTTGTCCTTTTCCCACCTTTACTGCACCTTTCCCCCTCCCATGTCACACCCTTTCCTGGTATCTCCTCCTTCCTTTGTCCTGCTGTCATAAATATGCAAACTTCTTATGAATTGTGAACTTTTGAGGTTCCACATGCACGTTCATTTCTCTTGCAATAAACCTGTTTTTCACATAAATCTCATGACATTGTGATTGCCTCTTTGACAGTATATAGCACATGTTGTTTTTGTTGTTGAGTCATTTCAGTCATGTCTGACTCTTTGTGATCTCATTTGGGGTTTTCTTGGCAAAGATACTGGAGTGGTTTGCCAATTCCTTCTCCAGCCCATTTCACAGATGAAGAAACTGAGGCAAACAGGGTTAAGTGACTTGCCCAGGGTCACGCAGCTTATGTCCGAAGCTGGATTTGAACTCAGGGAGATGAGTCCTCCTGACTCCAGACCTAATTCTCTATCCACTGCACCACCTAGCTGCCCCTATGTCTAGGCACTTAATAACTGTTTATTAAATGACTGAATGTAAGGTATTGTGCTACAAAGACTTTTTAAAAAAAAACAGTCCCTGCCCTCAAGGAGTTTACATTCTAGTGTGGGAAGATGCATAATGTACACAGATAAGTAAATTCTGTAGAAAGTCATTTGGGGAGGGAAAGAACATTAACACTTGTCTGGAGAAAGGAGTAGGCGTAGGGGAATCAAGAAAGGCTTTACTTACAGGGGTTCTTAAGCTGGGATCCAGGAACTGTTTTTAAAAATGTTTTGTTAAGTGTATTTTGATATAATCAATTTCTTTTGTAATCCTACTGGTTTATTTTTTTTTTTTTGGCATAAAAACCCCAACAAAACAACATTATCCTGAGAAGGGTTCGATGGGTTTTATCAGCTTGCCAGAGGGGTTTGTGACACATAGAAGGTTAAGAACTCTTGACTTAGGAGATGACGCCTGAGCAGGGCTTTGGAGGAAGTTAGGGATTCCAAGAGTTAGAGGCAAGGATGGAGAATATTCCTATAAGGTACGGAGAAAAAAAATGAAATGTCAGGTTTGGGGAACCCAGTTTCCCCTCCGTCAGCAGCATGTGAAAGGGAAATGTTACACAACAATTTTCAAAACAAAAGTGAGAGCCAGATTTCAAGCCAGGTAGCTTTAAATGCTATACTAAGGACTTTATATATACATTTTTATATAGCTAGAGGCAACAGGGAGCCACTAATGATTTTTCAGCAAAAAAGTGGCATGATCAGATTGTGTTTTAGTAATATCCATTTGGCAGCCTTGTAAGGAAGAAGGATCGGAGGTGGGAAATTGGAGGCAGGGAGGCCAATTAAGAATCTATTGCTATATTCCAGGAAAGAAGGGATGAGGACCATGGGAATAGGTAAAATCAACAACTGATGGGATAAGTGAGGTGAAAAAGAAAGAAGAGACAAGGCTTCAATTCAATTGAACTCGAATTTTTAAGCATCTATGATATGCTAAATACTGTCCTAGTTGCTGAGGATAAAAAGACAAAAATGAAACCTCCCCCATCCTTAAGGAGATCACATACTATTGAGGAAAACAACAGGCACATCCAGAAGTACAAAATAAATTCAAATTAGTTTTGTTGGGATTGGGGAGGGAACTATCAATTAAGGGGATCAGAAAAGGTCTCTTGAAAGAGGGGGCACTTGAGCTAGGGATTCCATAAGGAAGAGGTGAAGAGGCAGAGCATATCAGACATGGGGCACAGCCTGTGCAAAGGCATGAAGGTGGGAGATCTGTGGGAAACAGCCAATAGGCCAATTTACCCAAGAGAATGGAATACATGAAGGAGAGTGAAAGATGAATGAAAAATGATGTGAAATCAGTCTAGAAAGATAAGCTGGAACGAGATTTTGAAGGTCTTTAAATGATAAACAGAGGAGTGTGTATTTTATCCTAAAGGATTAGGAAGCCAATGATGTTTCTTGAGCAGGGGAATGACATGCTTCAGACCTGTGCTTCTGAAGTAGTAAACCTGGATGACTAGAAGGATGATTGCACTCTCAACAGAATTGGGAAACCCCATATGGTCAGGTATATGGGGGAAAGCAAGGGAGTTCAGCTTTGCATGTTCTGAGTTTGAGATGTCAATGGGATACCCAACAGAGATGTCCAGCAGGCAGTTAGTGATACTAGGATAGAATGTATACGTTTGTGAATCTTCAGTGTAAAGATAGTAATTGAACCCATGGGAGCTTCACCATCCTGGCTGCCCTACTTTCAACACACTCCAAGTCATCAATGTTTGCGACACCCAGAACTGAGTGCAGTATTCCAGGTGTGGTCCAACCATAACAGAATGGGGTGGAGACAATTATCTCCCCCAGCTTCTGTTAGGAAGACATCACCATAGAATGATGGGAACAATGGATTTGGCATCCGAAGACTTGGGTTCTAGTCTCAGCTTCTCCTAGTGAGTGTGTGGCCTCCAGCTGGTGGTTCTGACAGGAGAGTTGGCTTAGGAGTCACAGCGTCTAAATTTAAACCCTGTCTCTGCCACTGCTACCTGGGTGACCTTGAACAGGTCATTTCTCATTAATGGCTTTCAATTTCCTCATCTGTAAAATGAGTGTGGCAGATTAGATGATCTCTAAGGGTTCTCCTAACTCTAAATAGTATCACAGCTACAATTTCTCTAGGGTTCAGTTTCCTTTGGTAAGATGGGGGATAATAACTGTTAAGTACTTGCCCCTCAGGGCTGTTGTGAGCAAAGTACTTTGCAAATAATGCAATAAAAATGTGACATTTAAAATTTTTCATTTCTATTGATTTTTTTTTGTTTTTGTTTTTGCAGCATCTTCATTTCCAAATATAGGTCTCCTTTTCCTTCTCTGGCAGCTAGGTGGATAGAACACTGGATAGAAGAAAAGAATAAAAAATAAAATTAATTAATTAATTAATTAAAGAAACTAACCAACATATCAGCACAGTCCAGTGATATGCAATGTACCATACCCATAGTCCCTTACCTCTGCAATGAATGGAGGCAGCTGCATTCTCTATTTTCTCTGGGGTCAAGGTTGGTCATTAGAATTTCCCAGCACTCAGTTTGGGTTTCTTTGGTGGTAGTATGTTATTTTCCTGGTTCTGCTTCCTTCACCCCGCATCATTATTCACTTTGCATCTTCTCGCGCTTCTCTGAATTCTTCATATCCATCATTTCTTACAGCACAGTAAGAAACCATTATATTCCTGGATCACAACTCATTTAGCCATTCCCTGTCAATAGGCAATTGCTTTGCATTAATACTATATGAGGAATGCTGCTATAAATCTCACTGTACATGGGGGATTTCTTTTTATCATTGCCTTCACTGGGTTATACAACAGCTAGCAGGGTTTCCAGTCCA